TCTGGGAGTTCTCAGTCCACATATTGCTGAAGCCTACCTCATAGGATTTTGAGCATAACCTTGCTAGCGTGTGAAATGAGTGCAATTGTGCGGTAGTTGGAGCATTCTTTGGCACTGCCCTTCTTTGGGATTGGGATGTAGACTGATCTTTTCCAGTCCTCTGGCCACTGTTGAGTATTCCAAACTTGCTGGCATATTGAATGTAGCACCTTAACAGCATCATCTTTTAAGATTTTAAATAGTTCAGCTGGAATGCCATCACCTCCACTGGCCTTGTTGTTAGCCAGGCTTTCTAAGGCCCACTTGACTTCACTCTCCAGGATGTCTGGCTCTAGGTCAGCAACTACATTGCCTGGGTTGTCCGGGATGTCCAAATCTTTCTGATATAATTCCTCTGTGTATTCTTGCCACCTCTTCTTGATGTCTTCTGCACGGCATAGCCCATAGCTTCTCTGAGTTGCTCAAGCCCCTTCGCCGCGACAAGGCAGCAATCCATGAAGGGAAGCTACTAGCCTAGATTCCTCAAAAGACTGTCTGGAATATTTCAACACAAATCCAGTACATTCAGGTGCTAATCCTGCTGTAGTGCAGATGATTTCTACACCAGAAGCAGTATAGGAGATAACCGATCATGCAACTAAGCAAGAACATATGATTCCACATATAGTGATGTATCTGAACTGTCTACAGTGAGGTATTATCAGAAAGGATATGTACATTCTGAAGGTGCAGTTTCACGTATCTTGATGCCACAACCTCTATTTGGGAGGGGGGAAATAGCAGTAGAAACTATTAAATCATATCATTAAATGAAAGCTGTTAAGAAGCATCTTCTACATTCATAGCAAAGAAAGCTTTTGACATTCCTGTTTTATTAGGAATATCCAATAACATTCAGAAACCAGAGATAAAGTGTGTTTGTCTATTCCACATAAACAGATAAAGCACCTTTTTGGATCCTCGCTGAATACTGCAGTTCTTGCAAGACACATTTTTGCTGTCCCAGTGGTCAGCTGCTCCACATGTCAAGCAGAGATCCGGATCACATTCACGCACAGCTAAGTAGCATGGACATTGCTTTGTGTTGCATTGTGCTTTGCAGCGACATCCAGGAAACCTATTTTGGCCTTTAAGGAGAACAAAGAGAGCTCAGCCAACATGGACCTATTGGAACCAACCACGAAAGCAACTATTTCCCATAGAACAGGGCTCCCAATATTTAACTTCTTTTTTCAACTGTTTGCCATAACAGTAGGGGTAGGTACTTTAAGCATGCAAACATTCCTACTGAAAACAGAAACAGGCATCAAAATGAAACACACTTGCAAAGTTACTAATGTTAATTATGCTTCACTCAGACAATTTACATGCAGATAATCAGTTCCCACAAAGGTAACCATGCTAAGTCCACAATTTCTTGCAACAACAATTCTTGTGTGCTTTGCAGACCAACAAATTTCATTTGGCATAAACTTTCATGGTCTTTAGCCTCACATCTGAAGTGGGTTACAGTGCTTGAAAGCTTATACCAAATAATATAGTTATTCTCCTACAACAAAAATCAAAATGAAACACACAAAATCAAACCAAAGCAAATAAACCCCCAAACCCCTAGGTTTGCAGAATTGTTAATAGTTTTTGCTACAAGACACAGCTGGAAAAAACACTTATTTCATTATGAACAGGACCTAACACGGTTTAAAGGATACAATTATGTTCTTATTGTAATGAGTGACACCCAGAAATAATTGGCCCATGACCCAAAGAAACAGTAAGCTAGCAAGAGCTTTCTCTTGGAACTATCTTCATTTTTCATACAAGAGGTCCGACATTCTGAAGTATGATGTTTATAAAGTACAGTGGTGCCTCGCTTAGCGATGTTAATTGGTTCCAAAAAAACATAGCTATGGGAAAACATCACTAAGCAAAACACCATTTCCCATAGGAATGCATTGAAAACCGGATAATCCATTCCAATGGGAACGGATTACCGTCCTTAAGCGAAAATCGCCATAGGAAACATTGCTAAGCGAAACGCGGTTCCCCCATTGGAATGCATTGAATAGGTTTCAATGCATTTCAATGGTTTTGACAGGTCCGTTTTCGCTATTTTTAAAGTGTCTTAAAATGTTCAAAAACTGTTTAAAATGCTTGGAATCGTTAGTGCGCCTTGTAAAACCATTGCAAACTTAATTTGACTTTGCTCTGAGTCTTCGTTAATTTTTGGTGAATTCCCCCCCCCCATNCCCCCCCCCCATTGGAATGCATTGAACTGTAGGTTTGAGTTCAGTGCATTCCAATGGGGGGGGGATTCAACAAAAATTAATGAAGACTCAGAACAAAGCCAAATTCAGTTTGCAAAGGTTTTACAGGGTGCACTAACATTCCAAGCATTTTAAACAGTTTTTGAACATTTTAAGACACACTTAAAATAGCAAAAACTGACATCGCTAAGCGAAACAGGGGGACCTAAACTGTCATCGCTAAACGAAGCAAGGTCCTGAACATCGCTATGCGAAATTTCCCCATAGGAAACATCGCTAAACGGAGCGCAAGATCACTCCCAAAACCTCATCGCTAAGCGAATACATCGTTAAATGAGGCAATTGCTAAGCGAGGCACCACTGTATTTTATTATATCACCTATTGCAAGGCTTTAAAAAGAAAGCACCATGTGTGTCAGGATCTCATCCATGCGTGCACGTGTAAACTTTAATGCAGAAATGGAGAAAGTACAAGTGTTATTGGGGATTTGAACACCTAGCATCCCTAACCACTATGACAAGGCATACTGGGAATTGCTGCCTAATATGGAGAGCCAGATTTTGTCCACCCCCAATTGTTGGTAACAGATCAAGAATTCATAATACAGTGGAACCTCTACTTACGAACGTCCCTACCTACGAACAATCCAACTTACAAACAGCTCCATTTGCAAAATGTTGCTTCTACTTGCGAACTGAGCTTCAACATACGAACGGGGGAAAACGCGGGGAGGCACGAAATTTGAACTTTCAGTTGACCGTTGGCCAGCGAAGAGGGTGCTTATCTGCAACATCGCTCATCCAAGCAGTTAGAGAGTACTGCTTGGTACTGTACTGTATGGACTGGGGTGTGTGGGGGTTTTTTTTTGCTTTTTTTAAATTTTTGCTTTTTGACTTTCTTTTTTTAAACAGAGACTGCCTGTTCTGGGTGAGTACACTATATTTACTGTACTGTACAGGGTTTTTTTGGCAGCTTGGTGGGGGGTAGGACTAGGTGGGGCGTTATGTTGCTGTGCTCTGATGGGGCTTGCAGTGCAGATTTTAGTTTTAAAATGTGTGTGGTTAAAATGTGGCTCTAAAGTCTGTTTTAAAATCAGAAAATATAGTATTCTGTAAGGGACTGTGGTTGTTGTAGATTCAGGCAGCTAGGCAGGCAGGCTTTAAAATGGAGTTTAGACTCAGGTCTCTCCCCCCCCCCACTCTCTTTTTGTGATTAGGAGTTCTGTGCTGGAATAATGGTTGCTGATTGTTGGTGCAAGCAGGCTGTAAAATGGAGTTTAGACTCAAGTCTCTACCCCCCTCTCTATGCTCTCTTTTTTGATGAGGAGTTCTGTGCTGGAATACAGGCATGGTTGATTACTGTTGGTGCAAGCAGGCTGTAAAATGGAGTTTAGACTCAAGTCTCTACCCCTCCCCCAGCTCTCTTTTTGTGATGAGGAGTTCTGTGCTCGAATACAATAATGGTTGCTGGTTGATGATGCAGACAGGCTGTAAAATGCAGTTTAGACTCAAATGTGTTTTGTTTAAAATGTGTTTTAGACTCCAAACTCTCCCCCTTGTCTTCGCTCTCTCTGTATTCTCTCTTTTTATGCTAAGAAGCACAAACCTTTGTCTGAGGGGTCTTGAGCCCCAGTGATGACCTTCCTTCTTTCTTTCCTCTTTTCCCAATTGTTCCCTCCCTCCCTCCTTTCCTGTCCTTTTTTTTTACCTAAAAGGTGCCTGGCTTGGCTTGCTTGAAGAGGTATTTTTCAAGGTGTTCTGCTAAAGTTGTTCCCTCCCTCCCTCCTTTCCTATCCTTTTTTTACCTAAATGGTGCTTGGCTTGGCTTGGTTTTGTTTAAAAGCTGCTTGTTTTTAAAGGTGTTCTGTTTAGAAGGTGTTCCCTCCCCCCTCGTTTTGTGCCCTTTTTTTGACCTAAGTTCATCTTAGGTCAAAAAAAGAAAAATTCTTCCCCTAGTGGTAGAGGACGGATTAACTGGCTTTGCATTAGTTCCTATGGGAACTAATGCTTTGACTTAAGAACGACGCCTCTAGATAAGAACAAAAAACAGCCGGAACGGATTATATGGTTTTCAGTGCATGCCTATGGGAAATTTTGCTTCTACTTACAAACGTTTCAACTAACAAACATCTTCTGGGATGGATTAAGTTCGTAAATAGAGGTTCCACTGTACACAGATAGCAGTAAGAAAACGAAATGTTTATTACAATTAAAACTCCTTAAGACATTAAATAAATAACAGTATGTTCTCATATTTTCAACACGAATAACAAAGATGTTAATAAAACTCAGATCTGAAAATAGGCCTAGCAAGTATGTCCACAACCTCGTCTCTTCGTTATAAAGCGAATTCCTCAAGATAGTTCATTTTGAACACTACACCCACCAGCAACCCCTTTCCATGTTTGTTCGGAGATTATTCAAACAAAATAATCTGTAATCCTACACTGCAGAGCACCGACAGGACTGGCCATGGCTAGCTGATTACTTCAGTGAAATGATGTACAGTGAGCTGCTTGAAAGGAATATGATTAGCAGGAGGAAAATTTTTCTTCAGAAATCTTGTCTGTCACTAGTGATCTTACTAAAAAACTACAAACCTCAAAGCAATTCTAAAATTCTTTGGAACAAAATGCTAGAAAATTAGTATATTTGTGCCTGCACTTCATGTTTGCTCAATACTACACCCTTTAAAACAGTTACAAATATATGCTAGTCAGCTATGAAAACACACTAAAGCTAAGCATATAGGATTTTAAGGGTGCAATGATGACTTAGTTCTATGTATGACTCACTGGAAACAATAAAAACTGTTATCTGAATTGAACTTCTCTGGAAATTATCAAAATCTATTCTTTCTCAGTCTTGGTGATACTATCATGGTTCCAGGAACCCCTCAACACAGCCCTCTCTCAAGGAGGCAGAGTGACGGCAGTGAGAGCAAAGGGAATTCCCAAGGGTCTGGGGAACCCTGTGTAAACTCTGGGTCAGTAGACCCTTCAACAGTGGAAAGGGAGGTCAAGATCTACAGAAGAGTGGTCTTGCAGCGAAGGAGAGCTGGAAAAACTTTGAATTCAGACAGCAATCTGTCTTCCTGAGAGTTTTACTTTCTCAAAGCATCCGGCCGGGGAGATGCCATGTACTGGTGAATTAGCTGCCTAACTTTGCCAAAGTGGGAAGTGTGAAGAAGATTCTTGCTTGACCGCATGACCCATTTTTATTTAGCATCAGCAAGCACAGATCAAAACTCAAGCTGTTGACTTAAAAGCAGAGAAGAAATAAACAAAAGAGGCAGAAGAGCAATAAAGAGAACAAAAAAAAAAACCAAAATAAAGCAAGAACAGAAGCCAGCTAAACTGGGGTAATTAAGAGATAAATTAGTGGCTACTAAATCTCTCCTTGAAATCAAATGGAGAACTCTATTTTCTAAATGCTTTTGTTAGCACATCAGCCAATTTTTAACTGTGTCACACTTGAAAGAGAAACTAAAGTTAAAAGACATGGACGGAAATCACTTTCTCTTCCCCCTGTCCTCCCTCAATGGTATGGACTATTACACCATAATACTAGAGGTTTAAGAAAGTTGGAGTTCTTAAAGAAAAAATTTAACAGAGGCACTTGGGGAGAATTTTGGGTGTTGATAGACAAAAAGGGGGAACCCCCCCAAGTGGCCTTGCTGTGAGCTGCGAATAGTGGATTATAAATTAAAACTGGCCCTGGCCGAAACTGGATTTACAACTGAATATGTTAAGTGGAGTTTGGGCCTGGACTGACTCATTTAACACGAAGATGGACTGATTGATTGTTTTACTGTTTTATGGTTCCCAACTGAATTTGGAATACAGGAAGGGGGGGAACGGACTTGGTGGACTTGATGCGAATTGGAGAGAAAACAGCAGCAGAGACAGACCTGCTGGATTATAAGAACCAGTATCAAAATATCTGAACTTTCTAAAAGTTGGATTCTTTTACTTTTCAGTGGAAAGTTTTATTCTACAATAAATCTATATCCAAGAAGCAGAAATGACGTTTAGTTCAAGTCCATCAAAATTAACAATGCAAGATTCTTTTAAGATAGATGCAGGAGTTTCAAATGAACATTATTAATCATTTTAAGGATCAGATTAAAACCCAGACGCTCGAAATTAAGGTGCCAACTTCAGGATTTAAAGAGGATGTGAAAAGGAATATTCAGAAGGAAGACCATTTCACCAGAGCAGTGGGAGCAGCAGAAAGAGAGACTTAGAACCAAGATTGAAGGAAGATAAAATAATGGGCTTTTATGAGAGGAAGGCCCAGGTGGATGAGTTGTGGATATATGCTAATGAGAAGATTACAAAAATGTATATTTGGTTGTCAGAAGAGAATTTAGAGAAGGAAAGGATGAAGACAATGATGATGAAAGGGGTACAAAATCTTGGCTATAATTTAAATATATATGATGGGATTTGAATGTGGAATGATTACAGATGGATTAAATCAGTAAATTTGAGAGAAAATGTTTTAAAGATGTTCTATAGATGGCACTTCAAAACTGGCAAAAAGGGTGTTAGAGATTAATTCAGGTTAAAATACTGTCAGCAACTTCGGACTCTCTTCTGTATAGGTGGTGGATAAGTGGCAGAGTAAAACAATTTTGGAGATAGATAAAAAGATATATAAGAAATCACATAAGTATACATAATCTTTAAACTAGAAATGCTCTTGTTGAATACAATTATCAGAAATTGTTGATCTGAATATTTAGAGTTATAAGGTTGATCTGGGATTAAATGGGATAGCTTGTTACAGATATTACAGTGGTGCCCCGCATAGCGACATTAATCCGTTCCAGGATTAATGTCGCTATCCGGATTCGTCGCTATGCAGGGGGGGAACCCCATAGGAACGCATTAAACTCTGTTTAATGCGTTCCTATTAGGGAAAAACTCACCGCTATGCGGGGAATCCTCCATCCAGCTGCCATTTTTGCCACCCGGTAAGCGAGGGCAGGGCGCGAAAACGCTGTGGGTGGCCATTTTGTTGACCCGGCGGCCATTTTGGAACAGCCGATCAGCTGTTCCCAAAACATCGCAATGCAAAGATCGGTAAGCGAAACGCTTACTGATCACCGCAATGCGATGTTTTGCTTATTAAAACATCGCAATGCGATCGCATTAGAGATCGCAAAAAACACGTCGCTATGCGGATTCGTCGTTAAACAGTGCGCTCATTAAGCGAGGCACCACTGTATTTGAGAATTTGAGAAGTTATGTTAAAGAAAAGTAAAAACTTTTTTTTGATTCAGCCCAGAAATAAATGAATAGATAATGTGGTTAAAGATTTTAGTACTGTACCACAGTTATGTAGTCAAGATTACATATTAGATATTGTACTATGGTAAACACTTCAAACTAGAAATGCTCTTGCTGATTTATATATACAGTGGGGTCTTGACTTAAGAACGGCTCGAGTTAAGAACATTTTGACTTAAGAACCACTCTCATAGGAAAATATTGACTTGACTTACATACTTAGATTTGAGTTAAGAACTGAAAAAACCCCACGTGGGAGGCAGGGAAAGTGCAAAATTTGAATTTTCTGTTAACTGTTGGCCAGTGGAAAGGGTGCCTGTCTGCTTCCTCACTCCTCCCAGCGTTTAGAGAGTGGATTGGGAGAGTCTTCAGACTGCCTGGACTGTATTTTCCCTGCCTTCCCTGAACCTTTCTTGACCTAAGAAAAAAAGAAACAAAATATCCCCCTCTAGTGGTCGAAGGCGGAATAGCAGCTTCCCATTAGTTTCTATGGACGGAAAAGAGCAGATACGGATCAAATGGTTTTCAATGCATTCCTATGGGAAATGCAGATTTGACCTGAGAACTTTTTGACTTGAGAACCGCCTTCCAATACGGATTAAGTTCTCAAGTCAAGACCCCACTCTGTGTGTGTGTGTGTGTGTGTGTGTGTGTGTGTGTGTGTGTGTGTGTGTGTGTGTGTGTGTGTGTGTGTGTGTGTGTGTGTGTGTGTGTGTGTGTAGAGAGAGAGAGAGAGAGAACATATGTGGTTATAAATATTATAAGGTTGATCTGGGCTTAAAACAGGATAGCCTGTTAGAGAGATTATCTGAGGATTTGAGAAGTTACGTTATAGAAAATGGAAAAATGTTTGTTGACTGAGCCCAGAAATAAACATGAGTACAGTACTAAAATATTTAACATAGGTTAAATATTTTAGTACTGCAACACAGTTATGGAGTCCAGATTATATATCAGATATTGTAGTATGGTAAACACTTCCCTGTGTGTATATTTTGTATGTGTTGTTTGTTTGTTATATAATAAAAAATACTTAAAAACAAACAAATAAACCGGCCCTCTCTCCTTTTTTGGCACAAATGAGAGTTTCCTTGCATTGCTAATAGCAAGCAGGAGAAAATGTGTATCAGGACAACGATAATAGGAAAAAGATAAAAGCCTCCTTCCCAGTGCCACAGAGTGAATCTAGCAAAGCCCTTCTATTCCGTAAAGACAAGAGAAGAAAAGAGCCAATCAAGGTCAAACCTTGTGACAAATAGAATGTTGAGCTCAGCCTTTAACAAAGAGATACAACCTCCCCAAATTCTTCAATCCCTTCTTAAATCTCTCCAAGCAGTCCTTACAAGGAAAGCTATTAAAATATTATTTTCTTAAATTACTTACATTCTGAACTGCACTGACAGAACTTCTCACAGAAGTTCTGAGCAATGACACAAGGACATGAGCTGTCACAAGGCTGACGTGGGTGATCACATGGCTGGTAGTTGTAAACATGATTGGATGATCCATCTGAACAAAAAATAATGTATGGAAGACATCAGAGAAAAATTTGACAGAGAAAAGCATCAAAATAAATTTAGTTAGAATTCTCCACTTTCCTCCAAAACATCCAAAAAGCAAAGACCTTCCTGAATATTCTCCAGTGTCAGTGGATAAGATAAAGGCACCAAAGAGCATCATAATTGCACAAATATACACCTGTTTTATCCCAATATCTCCCAACATGCCTAGTGACATTTGGGACATAAAAGATTCAATACTAGAGCCCCAGGGACTAGTGGACTGCTCTTCCCCCACCCACTGAGAAAACAGTCTAGCTTGAGAAGCTTCCTTAGTGCAGGGAGGGAAGGTCAGCCAACTTCATTTCTCTAAAATCAGATCTTTGGTGGAGGGGGCAAAAGGTAAGCATTCCATGGGCAGAGTTATTGGCATAATTTATTTTGTTCTCTTAATGGAAGGAGGAAATTAAATTAAAAAAGGAAATAAAGATTAAAAAGAGGAGAAAATGCTTCCCTCCACCTTCAGTCCTGCAGGGCATAAGAAGTAGAGGTTAAGCCATGACAATTTTTCATTTCCAGAAACCCCCTTGGATTCCTCTGTGCAACCAACTACTTTTAGTGAGAGAATTCAGCATATGTTCATATTTCTCCCACTAAAATTTCTTCAAAAGTGAATTTGATGCTTTAAGTGAGTTAAGCTTCTTTCTCGTTATTACCAAGGCTTCTTTCTCAAAATTATAAGAACATCTTATACAGAAATCATACCCACGCAGGAAGAAAACAAATTTCAGACACATTTGTGTCATAATGACATCATATACATTTATTTCGCAATGTACGCAGAGAATTTCCTGTTCATTTGTTATGTGCTACCAAGTTGCATCTAACTCACAGCAACCCTAACAGGGTTTTCAAAGGTCCGTAAGAAGTACTGCCAGTCCCCTACTGAGTTTCCAAGTAAGGATCCAAACCAGGTCCACTGAGCCCTAGTCAACCATTCTATACCAGTATATTACAATGGTTCTGGCAGAATTTACTACATACATATCCTATTCATTTGTTGCATTTATTATCCCTTAATAAAGTTCCTTCAATAAGCATTCTTTCCCCCACATTATTGTCATCACAATTCTGAGAAGGCTGAGAGTGTTGAGATTTTTGATCTAAAAATGTATTAACTATAATGTTGTATAGTAAAAAGTAAAATGGCTAATATAACCTGAGTCATGCACACAGTGGATTCAGGTATGTACCAAGATTAAAGACTTGATATTGTGCAGCTGGAGAAAATGATGTAATGTAAAGGGGACATGTTTGTGAGGATGGGAGTAACCCCAAGGGTACTCCATACAGTGTACCATCCGTCTCTCCCAGCAGAAAGATGGAGGATGAGGTGACAACCATTGTGGGAGAGTTGAGAGGGTGTTAGTTTGGCAGGAAAGATATAAAAGAGGGTGATAAAAAGGGGAAGACAGTTCAAAGGAGAAGGAGGAAGAGGCTTGTTGGGCCAAGAGGAGACAGTAGAACCAGAGAAAGATTTGGTAGAGATAGTCCAAGAAGATCCTTGGACTGAGGAGTGAGTAGAGTTCAGAGTTCCTAGAGAGTACGCAGAAAGGGAATGGAAGAGACAAATGTATAGAAAGCCACCTTATTGGGGGGAGATAGAAGAAAGAAAGCAACATAAAGAATACAAAGCCTGGCAGCAGAAAGAGGCCCAGAGCAGAGCAGATGTATGAAGAACCCTGGGAGATCTCATGGGGCGCCAGTCCCTTCCGACTGAGATTGAGGCAACCCTCGGGCAAGGTGGTTTCGGAGCTGCTGTTAGGCTGGGTTTACCACCCTCAGCAATAACGTTAATGGACTATGCACCTGATATATCGGGTCACGTAGCTAGGTGGAACCAGGGAGTTATGAGTTCTTCATCCTTATCGGTCAAAGGGGATTTGTCAAGTTTTGAAAGTTAAAACTTATGATTTATTGTTGAAATCAGAACCAGAAGGCATGAATATAAATGAAGCAAAAGATATGTTAAATAATAAACTCATTTGACTTGAGGACTTTGGTGTGCAGCAATCTTCTTTGAGTCAAAAGGTGTTGAAAGAGGTAAAGGACACGGGACATGATCACAGTGGCAACCAACATGGGGGCAAGTCCTTACCTCCTGACATGACAGGAAGATGGATGCAGTGGGCAATGGAATGACAAGATGCCATTTTGAAACAACTAGTAAATCAACAGAAGGAGGTGATGAAACTGCCGGAATGATCAGACAAGAAATTTATAGAACCAACGATGCAAGCGGACAAATTCAGAGTTGTGCCCAGCTTTGCACATATAAAATTACAAAAGATGGGACAAGGGGATGGTCCAGAAGCGTTCTTACACACATTCGAGAGGATAGCAACGGCAGCGAATGCTCTCTAGACCAATGGACATTAATCCTGATGCCATACCTAATGGGATTGGTGCAAGAAATAGTACATACACTAGAGCCAAAGGAGATACAAGATTATGCCAAAGTGAAAGGAACAATACTGGGCACTCTAGACCTCTTGGAGGAAGCCTATCACCGTCGATATAGAGGGCTGTGTTATAAATTTGGCACACCAACTCATACATTATCACAACAAATGAAAGCCAGCACAACAAGATAGCTGCAGCTGGCAGTACACAACCAGACCAGGTAGTGGAGCTAATGGTGACCAAACAGCTAATAACAACATTCCCAACAAATATTAAGAGCTGAATGCTATGCCATCAACCAAATATGTTGGAAGAGGCAGTCACATTGTTAGAAGCCTACACCAAATCCAACACAAGAGAGAGCAAGAAATCTAGAAAGGATGGCGTGTTCAGCAGCGGCCATCGTGACACCAAAAAGGAAGAACCCGATGATCCTGGGGAAAAAGGATTGACACCAACGAATCAAAGAGGCTCAAAATCATCAGACCCTTCATTACAGCAGGGCTAGATTCGGAACTCCAACAACCAGGTTGGAGAGAGGAGGTTGGAGAAACGTGAGGATTGAGGGAAAGAAAATCTGCTATGGCTGTGATAAAGAAGGACACTTCAGGAGGGAATAGCCAGTTGAGGATTTCTCATGGCCGTGTGCAAGATGGGTGGGGGAACATGCTCCGGCTGGGAGGTGATGGCACAAGTGGAGGGTCGAACAGTAAAAGCCCTGGTAGAAAAAGGGTGCAGCAGAACATTGATCAGAGACTATCCGGGCTTGAAGCAAGTCAAACAGATGGAAATGTGAAACCATGCCCGTGGACAGAAACAGAAGTAGCTATAGGAGGACGAAAACAAAGATTGAGAATAGGAGTAGTACAAGATTTAGTTCATGAAATGTTACTGGGAAGGAGTCGAATGGCTAACAGAGGTCAGAGGGCTGATACAGTGGGGTCTTGACTTGAGAACTTAATCCGTATTGGAAGGCGGTTCTCAAGTCAAAAAGCCTGTAAGTCAAGTCTCCATTGACCTACAGTGCATTGAAAACCGATTAATCCCGAAACAGGCCGTTTTTGTTCCATTTTGGTTTTTTTCTGGTCTGTAAGTCAAATCTCAGTCTGCAAGTCAAACCTAAATTTTGCGGCCAGAGAAGTCTGTAACTCAAAAAGTCTGTAAGTCAAGCCGTCTGTAAGTCAAGGGTCCACTGTAAATGTGGAAGGGTTGGCAGGAATGGAAAGTATCCAAGGGGTGCCCAAGAGACAAATTATAATGTGGTAACAGGATGATCCAGATTTGCAGAAAAGGATACAAACTGTGGGACCAGAAAAGGGAAAGGACAAGCGAGAAAAACAATTCATGCTCAAAGAGGGGCTTATATTATAAGGGAAAAGAGGCGACCGAAAGAGAGGTACTAGTAATCCCAGCTAAATTAAGGAGCACAGTGATGAAGTTGGCACATGATATCCCGATGGTGGGACATTTAGCAGTGGTCAAAACATTGGCAAGGATAAGGCCAATTTAAGAAAAGAAGTAGAAAAATATTACCAATCATGTGAACAGTACCAAAAAAACCCCGCAACCCCTCCCACCACGCAGTTAATTCCACTCCCGTTAGTAGAAAAGCACTTTCATAGGATTAGGATAGATATTGTGGGTCCATTTACTAAATCATTGGCAGGACACACATCCTAGTGATCACTGATTATGCATCTAGATATCCAGAGGCCATTCCCTTAAGGTCCACACATGTGAAGACACTTGCCAAATAATTAATGGGAGTTTTTGCTAGACTAAGTTCCCCTCAAGAAATAGTAAGATCAGGGGTCTAACTTCATGAGTGCTACCCTAAAACACTTATGGGGGATGTTGAAGGTATATCCACTAAAAATGTCAGTGAATCATCCACAAACGAATGGGCCAGCAGAACGTTTCAACAAGACCATAAAGGGGATGCTAAGGAAGTTAGTGACAGACAAACCTAGACAATGGCATATATTACTCGGACCCCTCATGTTCGCAGTTAGGGAGGTACTGCAAGCCTCAACAGGATTCTCTCCATTTGAACTACTATATGAGCGCAATCCTTGGGGAATTTTAGATTTAGTGAAACAAAAATGGGAAAACGGAGATAGTGAAACACAGATAGTAGTACAACAGGTGTTAGAGATGAGAGAACACTTAGAACATGCACATGCAATTGCTATGCAAGCACTGGGACAAGCCCAGCGAAGACAGAAAGATATGACAAAAAAGTGAGACCTAGAACTAGAACCAGGGCAGAAAGTATTGTTCCTCCTCCCTTCTGAGGCAGTAAAGCTCAGTGGCGAGGGCCATACAGTGGACCCTCGACTTACAGAATTAATCCGTATTGGAATGGTGGCTGCAGGTTGAAAAGTCTGTATGTTGAGGCTCCATTGACCTACAATGCATTGAAAATCGATTAATCCATAACTGGCTGTTTTTGTTCCATTTTGGTTTTTTCCCCCCGGTATGTAGGTTGATTCTCCGTCTGCAAGTCAAATCTAAATTTTGCGGCCAGAGAAGTCTGTAACTTGAAAA